TGATCCTTGAATCACGACTATTGTTAGCCAACCAGCTCTAGCTTCCACTGTTTCTATCCTATTTCTATCTTTGATACTAAGTCTATGACCTCGCATGCCCTAGTCTCTTGTGTGCCAACGCACAAACGTTGTGGTTCAACATTGAACATAATCAAAGCAAGCAGTATCACAACATTTGTGGGTTGGCACACAAGAGACTAGGGCATGCGAAGTCATAGACTTGGTATTAGGGATAGAAACAGGATAGACGTGGCGGCGATGGGAGCTAGTGGGCTGACAGTAGGTTTCATAAGAGACGTGGTCCATGCAGAGGGTTCTCATGAAAGCCGCTGAAAAGAGCACAAAGTACCACATTTAATTAAGCAAGTAAAAAATTGTGACGGTGAAGACGTGATAGGAGGATACAGGAAATGGGAATGGGCTAGGGCAGAAGCGGAGATACCATAATTGTTTAGCACACATTTGGTCAAAGGATCGGCTTCACTTGTTTCTTTGTCGATTTGTAATCTGGTGCTACGACCGGCGAGATTCACTGACGATGCCGACTACGATGCCGGCGAAACGTCTGGGAATGTACCATCTCTACGGTCCGACTTTGGAAATAATTATGCATACAACGGACTCAGGACAAAGTGCGTTCCTCTAAGTTTTCCTATCAATATGACCAAGTTGCGAAAACAAGGTCAAACAACTTCTATCTATTCTTTGTTATTTGACCTGTTGTCGGGAGTACCAGCTTCCTCAATCAACTTGGGTCTGGCGGTGTGGCTTTCAAGACTTTTGCATGTGCGTCTGCATGCATATGTATATGTATATGTGCGTGTGTGTACGCCCCTTTTTAAAAAATACTGACTCTGATGAGATGTAGTGAGGCTAGCCGCTGGGGCGCGTCAGGGCTCCAAGGAATCTGCAGGGTCCTGGAGCCTTTCAAGCCTGGACCATTGACAAGCTGATGTTGAAAATGAGAAGACAGCCTTGTCAGCACTTTCAACGCCAGACAAGATGGAATCGTTGTGTTATGTGGTACTATGAATTACTCGGCCAGATTGTCTGAGCTCCAACATGTCATGGCGGATGGGTGTTTTTCCAGACAAGGTGATGGCAGCATCTCGTTTTTGACCATGAGCGCTGGTAGCGGATGAATCCCCATTTTAGAGTTGAGATGCTCCATCGCTTGTGCGGGTTATTCGAGGCTCTACAAGCCATCAATTGCATGGCATCGTGACGTCTGACTGTTTTCTTCATTGTACGCCTGGCTAGTCAGTCCCTTGAGGGGTAGGAAGGGATAGTAAACAAATTAAACGGAGGAAATTCCGCTTGCAGAGCCAGTCATCTGATACGAACCCTTTTCTACTGGACGTGCATGGCATGAGTTCGAGTCCGGCGGTGGAAACGGGCGGCAGACTGGCTCGAGTAGAGGCCTGTTTGTCTGACGACAATTGTAGAGCAAGTTTAAAGCGACATGAAACGCCCAAAAAGTTATGAATTAGTTGAGCTGGCAGATCAACAAGTGATGTAAAACAGGGATCTGCCTGTACCATACTGTACCCTAACCTCTCGGTAAATAGAGCGAAACGGCCTCAAGAAGCAGCATGAGATCGAAACACAAAGGATTTAATGAATTTCAAAGTGAAGCAAGTGGACTTTGATTATATTAC